CTTTTTATTCCTGAATTTCTAAGTTTCTCTTTTGGTACTGTGATGTCTGTTTATCATTTTACGTTTGCACACATGTTGACACACGGTTAACTCGTCCACTTAAAATTCTTTCTCTCGTTTTGTCTTCTTCTATCTTACTAACGATGGTCAGAAAATTTCGATTTAACATCTGCTGGGTTTGCTTTCGTCCAGTCCCCCCCCCCTCGCCCACCTTTAGAAATAATTTAACAAGAATAACAACACAAAGAAGCGACATCAACCGCAGATCCCTCTCCAAACCAAACCCCGCAAAATACAAGAACAGAAAAGAGATCAATAATAATAATATATAGCTTATATTATATTACAAAAGACGATTGGACAACACTAATTCTCCCTCGTCATGTCCCACCCCACCTCACAACTCAAAACCCCATTTCCAATACTTTGCCAATATGTTCAGCTCGAGTAGGGCATCAAGTGCTACAAATCTGCGCCCAGTAGGAGACGGGAAACGCGGAACATGAACGTAATTTTATTAATTGATAGGTGTCTTTACGGCACAAGAGAAGCAGCGAACATTCATTCTTTTCAACTCTGCTGCGGCGCCTACAACAACAACAATAATAATATGACTGCTTGGTGTTTCGCGCACGACGTGCGAAGTAACGACCTCCTCACCAATCACGACACTTCCACCAGCATAATAATAGGCAGTCGAGCACCGACCGCGCCACTCGCGATTTCTCACTCTCGCCGGTCGTCCCCCTCGTACTCTCCACTTTGCTGGGAGAACCTAAAGATGGAGTCGACCCTTCTCTCGCGTAGCGGCAACCAGTGACAGATCAAACGAAGGGAAAATGGACTCGTCTGGGGTTAGGGCCAAAGGCTGAATGCTAATCTCCTCGCACTTTTTTGCATGGATCAGCGGGTATATATTCCTACGCGCACTCGATCGAAATGACACCTAAACTCGTTTCTCCGATACATTAACAAACTTTTCAGTGCCCAGAAAGCTTCAGTAGGTGTTGTTTAAGTTTAGACTTCAATTTTATAGCTAACTTTGAGATTTTCCGTGTCTCCATTTCGTTTCTCGCACTCGGATTGATTCAGTTATTTACATGAACACTTCGGCTTGGCTAATCCTCTTAGGATTGGCTTTATCTTATGAAGGTTAGGATAGGCGGTCGACGACAGTACCGTTAGTAGACAGCACAATGGAAATAGGCCACAATGGAAGGAGTGAAAATACATGGAGTGTGGATTGTTGCTGTCCCGAATTGTGTTTCTCTTGAAGAATGCAGTTGTGCCGAGTAAAAATAGTGTGAAAGAGATAATCCGCGAATGGCACAATGTTGTCTTTGTGGTTTCGTTGCGATCTTGTCTGCTAGTCCTATTCTGTGCTGGAGTGTTAGCGGTAGATCTGTGGTGTGCTGTTGTGATCCCCATCACACAACTGGCTAGGCCTATGCTAGTTGGCTAGTGCAATAAATCGAGACCCCGTCTTTCTCGTAGGGTGTTCTTTTTGAACGAACTGCTAAGCTTGTTCTTATTATAGTATCGTGGCTAGATCAACGGACTCGAGATCAACTGCGATTCGTAACAATGGAACTGAAAACATGTGTGGACGACGATCTGAGTAGTGGCAGGTCTTGGCCTAGAAACTGTGAATCGGAGAGTAATATTCCTCTAGTGAGCATTCGAGAAAGAGTCGGTCGAGAGGAAGAAAATCTACACATCAACACAGTGAGTTTCTGTCGTTACTAATCTACCGTATTATTTTTCGCAAACAGTTTATTGTGTAGGGGCTAGATTTAGATCTACGTCTTTCGTTGAATTTTACCTTTAGCAGATATAAAATTGGGCCCAGTGGTCTTGTAGTTACATATAAAATCGAATTTGTCGATTTGTTTTCTGTTGTTTTCTTTGCGGTGAATGGTAATGTTTTTTGCAGATTAATGATCTTACTCTTAGTCTCGTCTTACTTAGAGAATACATGTAATAAAAGTAGATCTAGGCCCCTATATAATCAATTGAAATTAGCGACTTTTAACAAAACACTTGTGGCGATCTGAATTGATCCGTCTGAGGCTAGACTCCAGTTCAACTTGTGTGTGTGTGTGTGTGTGTGTGTGTGTGTGTGTGTGTGTGTGTGTGTGTGTGTGTGTGTTTGTTTGTTAGTATGTGTGTGTGAGAGAGAGAA